AAAAAGGCTAACTTAGTTTTGTACATCAGTTTGGGAGTGGGTATGTTACTTCTTGTATTAGCCCTTGCATATGTATTTGTAAGATTCCGAAACACAAAAAAGAATACAGGTCAAACAAATGTGTCTCCATTAAAAGAGCATGAAAGAATTTCCTATTATGAAATTGAACAGGCAACAGAAGGATTCAACGAAACCAACTTGCTTGGTAATGGGAGTTTCAGCATGGTCTACAAAGGGATACTTAAAGATGGTACCCTTTTTGCAGCAAAGGTATTCAATGTGCAATTGGAGCGTGCATTCAGAAGTTTTGACATAGAATGTGAGATACTCCGAAACCTTCGCCACAGAAATTTGACCAAAGTCATCACCAGCTGCTCCAACCTTGATTTCAAAGCCCTAGTGTTGGAATACATGCCCAATGGGACACTTGATAAATGGTTATATTCTCATAACTTATTCTTGAACTTGTTGCAGAGATTAGATATAATGATAGATGTTGCATCTGCAATGGACTATCTCCACAATGGTCATTCAACAGCTGTGGTGCATTGTGACTTGAAGCCAAGCAATGTCCTGCTAGATCAAGAAATGGTTGGTCATGTCAGTGATTTTGGCATTTCAAAATTGTTAGGTGTAGGGGAGGCTTTTGTTCAAACAAGGACAATTGCAACCATTGGATATATTGCTCCAGGTATAGTACAACTTTTCAAAGTTTTCTCATATCGTTTAAATACTCAAAACAATTCTTCCTCCCCTAGATATAAATGGATTTTCTTTGTTTTTTGCATATTCCATTTTAACTAGGGAACTTTTATAATTGTGATTTCAGAGTATGGACAAAATGGAATTGTATCCACAAGCTGTGATGTTTATAGTTTTGGCATCATGATGATGGAGATGTTCACAAGAACAAGACCAAGTGATGAAATATTTATCGGAGGCTTGACCATACAACGTTGGGTTAGTGATTCCTTTCCAGGTGAAATTCATAAGGTGGTGGATTCTAATCTGGTACAGCCAGGGGATGAGCAAATTGATGCAAAGATGCAGTGCTTGTTGTCTATCATGGAATTAGCTTTGAGCTGCACTTTCGTGACACCCGATGCAAGAATTAGTATCGAAAATGCTCTTTCAACACTGAAAAAGATTAGGCTCCGGCTTGTCAGTAGTTGGCACTAGCTGGTGGAATTGGACCGGCTACTCTTGTATGCTATTTGATTAACTATGCCAGTAACATTAAACTTTCAATTTTGCTAAAGTACTTAAGTGTGTTTATTCAGGGTTGTATGAAGCAACTCGTTTCTTGATATATATGTAGTTTTAATGATATATGAAAGTCGAAAATGATAAATATATGACTAAAAAACTTTGGTCAACTCTAATCCAATCCTCTGACGGATGATACTTGAGAGTGATCTTTCAATCCCCCCTCAAGAGAATCTACAATAAGAACTTTTGTATAGAAAAAGGACACTCTTCTTAATCTCTTTGAATAGCAATGTATTTGGTAAAAGAAAAGGAAAAAAATGCCACGTATTTGTGAAGTTTCTTAATCTCCCTCCCTGACTTTGTTGTTTACAGTAGCAGCTTGCCAAGAGGGAGAATGAGGACCGTCAAATGATTTTATATGATCTAATTTAATTTATTTTCATAAAATCTTATATCTGATTTATTATTACTTAGCTTTTACAGTACCTGAGGGGAGGTTAGTTTGTTCAGTACATATTATTACTTTTTGTTCTACCAAACATTGGATTAAAACCTAGTAATTGCCTGTGAAATCAAAGGGAAACAAACAGACAAAAAGATGTCAACAACAAAGAGAAATGGATCTCTAAATTCCTCAAGAGAATCTATAACATGAGTTAATACATCAAAATCACTTTACATGGCGAAAAAGGATAAAACAGATTTATCCTTTTTCAATTCTAGTTAGTTTGACTGGAAATATGTCGAGAGAACAGGTTCTTTAAACTACTACATTTTATGGTAGAAAGCTTGGTTCTCCACTCTTGGATGATAACTTGCCAAACAAGATCTGAATAGCAACACCTTGGTGTTTTATATAAAAGAGGACAGAAGTAGAGTAATTAATAATGTGCAATCATGCAGGTTGCTTTCACGTGACCATTTTTTATTTTGTAAACATTTTTTTAGCATTTGTTACAACTAGCTAGCTAGCTTGCTGAGATGATGATTGATTTTTGCCATATGCAGAGGTGACTTTCTTTAATTCATGTCGGAAGAATAGAGTTTGTGCCAAGAGGTGTGTGATATATATCAACCACCATAACGGATGTTGTGGGATAGATGAGATCCCTCCACCCTTAACTAAAGGTCTCGGGTTCAAGCGTGAAAATGGAGAAAGCCTTGATAAGGAGAGCTAAACCCTTACAAAGGTCCTCCAAGATGTGAATCTGGATTACTTAGGCTGGATACTGGATGGTTATATATAAAAGAACAAAAGAGGGGTGTAATAATGTGTGATACAAGTTTATAATTAAAGTGTCGTTGTATTTGTAAAAAAGAAGGGGAGAAAGCATGGAAAGTTTGCACTTTCTTAAAATGCCCCGAGGAACAATTAAAGAATCTATGCATCAAAAAAGTGATATAAAAACAATATTTTTGTGTCTTTATTTTACCCAGGTGACTAATGGTGGCAAAAAAATGCAACTTCTTGTCTGTCTTAGTTGAAGATGAAGATTAAAATAGGTTATCATAATTTGCTGCCCGTGATAAATCCACGTCTTAATTTGAGTAGAAGATACTATCTCAATCAATTATATATAGAATGAATGAGAGGACTTTAAAAGTTGTTCTTCTGTCATCATTTTCTTGGACTCATCAATCATCTTGACAATTATTTACTACTTGATGATTGATCAATTGCATATTTAACTCGAATGTATATACATATTGAAGTCGAGCCAAAGGCAGCGGTTGACCTGCATTTGACTATTGGTGTGTAACAAATAGAATGCTAACTTGTAACAGGAAAAATAGACAGAGACCTGGTCACAATACAACTTGTGCTACTCAAAAACTAAAAATAGTATAAGATCATTGTTTTTGCATTATCAATTGTAGTTATGGGCAGAATTAAGTTGCAATCTTACTCTTCAGTACTCTTGCAGTTTTCATTCTACTCCATCACCATACATATATATCACTTGCTACAGTACTGTACCTAATATCAGCACCCGCTCTTCTTGCCTTGAGATCTCACATTAATTTCTTCTCATTCTAACAACATCTTAGCAAGCAACTGGTCCCCAATTTGCATCATGGATCGGAATCACTTGCAGCTCCCGTCACCATATATATATATATATATATATATATATATAGTTACTGCTAATTTAGACATTAATTTCTAGCATGGTACCATGGCCTCCACATCTTGGAAACCTCTCATTTTTCATCTCCCTCCAGAACATTTGCGGAGGTTGAAATTGATTACAACTTCACCAGAGCCATTCCTAAGTTTGTTACCAATTTTTGGGGAAAATTCCAACTTCCTTTTCCAATCTAACAAAGCTGCAAGTGTTGAGAAATCGGTGATCTGACTGTCCTAGACCTGCAATATATATATAATCAGCTAGCTTACTGGCTCCATCGATCTTTAACATTACTACAGTGCACAATCTTATAACTGGAAAGCTTCCAATTATAACTATATGTGATCATCTTCTAAACTTGGAATTAAGGGCTTCACCTCTCAATGAACTCCCTAGATTGAAGGAGAGTTTGGTTTTTATGATTAATTGTAAAGGTTAAGCCGATAAAAAATAAATGTAATAGATCGATCGAGAAACTGATAGAAGTGAAGAAGAAAGGAATCAACTACTTTAACTAATTTAATATATAATATATAGAATTTTCATTGTATTTCTCTTGATTTGAATCAATCAGTTGATGCAAAGTTGAAAATTTGAAGACTTCTCATGATCATTTATCATACTCTCTCCGTTTCATAAAGAGTGACCTGATTTGACTTGCACAAAGTTTTAGAAATTAAAAAAGACTTTTGAATCTTGTGGTTCTAAATTAAAGTTATGTCAAATGTACTAAATTGCCCTTCAATCTTGTGGCTTTATACATGTCACATGGAAAGTTGAAATTAAAATGTTACCAAAAAAGAAAAGAGATCATTCTTTTTGAAACAAACTAAAAAGGAAAGAAGGTCATTCTTTTTTAAACGAATGGAGTACGAATTGTTGTATGTTTTAAGTTAAAGTCTTTTGGGTTGCGTTTCAAGATAAATTTTTCTTGTGTTTCAAGCTCAAGTTCTTGTATATATGTACTTTCTACATAAAAACAAGTGCAACAATATAAGTTAATAGAAAAATAGTGCATCCACTTCATAGTGTTGTAACATTCAAATAACTTTACAAAAAATAACTATCTTAAATTACATTAGTTTGTTTGTCAAGAACTACTAACAATATATCAATTTTATTGTCAAAAGCTATCAATTATATCTAATTAGCACTATTTTTATGGTTCCTTAGATTGTGAAGAAGATAAATTTAATTTTTTTCTTCTTTTGTTCATCCTCATCTCTTCAACTTAGCCTATATATTGCGATTGTTGCTTTGCCCTTCTACCTTACTCCAGTCTCTAGTAATATTGACTGACCTTATAGCTTATGTGTAGTAAATCCATTTTCAGCAATAAACACATTCATTTCAACTAGCCTAAAATTTTAACAAGTAATAATTCATCTGGTGCGGTGAATAAAATTGTTGTATAGTAGATTTTTGTGCTAAATTAAAAAATAATAGGCGAATGACTACAGGTGAAATGCATTGAGAGAGCGAAAATTATTACTCTATATTGTTAGAAGATATAAGTTAAATCTGTTGAGAATATCATTAACTAATAAAAGTGTGCTCTTTCTTAGAGCTTAAGTTTTTAGATTCGATGGTCACACACTTCAACAAAAGAGTCGAACTTATATATTCATTAAAAAAATCACCCATTTTCGTCAATCGACATCATTAAGATACAAACATATATTTCTTCATTCATGTCCATCAAATGAACATGATGAAGAAGAAGGCCACAAATCTAATTAACCAGAAGCCCAACAAAGGGCTAGTTTTGGAAGGTGGATCTCAACTATACATTAATTAAAGCAAAATATTGGTATCTAACTAAACTAATTGTACTATTAATGAACTCACAATAGCCACAACTTGACTTGCCTTCCAAAATGAATTAGTTCCTATATGTCACATCCAGAGGTTAGATTTGAGCATTGAACCTTTCCATTCCTCGAGATTTCTCCTGGGAACAAAGCATCCTGTTTCAAAAAAGAGTGTTATGCTGTGGTATAAAAATTAAAAGGACAGTCTGCTGCACTAAAGCTCATGTTATGTTGTGCTATATATATATATATCAATCCGAGCATAAAATACACAAAACTTAACATAGTGAAACAGAAAAAATACCCTACATTTGTGTCTCGTATACATCAGACAATACTAATCTATTGAATCGGCCAGAGCATTTGGAATCATAGTACTCGTTATCTTAAAGGTTTTAACATTCTTTGTTAATGTGACTATTTATTGCTGCTAAAAATTGTTCTTTTGTTATATTGTTAGAGCATAAATATCTATATTAGGCATAAATATCGAAAAACCAAAAAATTGGACTGAATTAATTCGATTCTTCGGTTTGATTCTCGGTTTTAGGGTCTGGTACTTCGGTGCACCCAAGAACCGATATATTATAACTTTTTTTCTTTATCATAATCAGCAATGACGACTAATGCATGACCATCTTATCAACCAAAATTTGCAACAAATGTCTTGGACTGTCAATGATATTGCCCTGATGCCCCAGTACGATTTTCTGGATTAGTTAATACTTATACTACTTACTTGATTAGAGTAGTAAGTTAATTCTATTTATTAAGGAGAAACTTAGTAATTATACCTACTTCATTACCATAGATACAATTATTACTTATGCTTTCAAAATATTACATATTTTATTACTAATTAAGAGTTTTCTATTCTATATTGAGAAAGATACACCTCGATACATGTATTTTTGCTACCAGATACACTAAAATAGGGAGGAAGCGAGCAAGATTTGTCATGTATCTCAAATACATGTGAATCACATCAGATATATAGGAGAGTGGCAAGCGAGATTTGTTATTTATCCAAGATACATGCGATTCCACTTGGATACAGTGTATCTAGAACAAATTATACTTAATTTTGACCTCATATATCTTGAGATACATGTATCTGAACATATCTAAATGCATCTGAACGCACCAAAATTTGATATGATATGTAATATTACAAATTAGAGTGTACCTAAGTAATTAGCTCTAACACTAATGAAATTTATGTAAATTTCATGTTTATTAATTATCACTTCATTTAGAATTTCATAAAGGCTAATTAAAATCATACTGTCCTTGAGATAACCATCGACTAGTTCAGTACCTAAAGGCTAAAACCAAAAAAAGAGACTGATCATTAATCAATATTGTGACCAACTTAATTAAGCTCGTTCTCCATGGTGATTGGTGACTCTCTTAGCATGGATTGCACACAAGTTGAATATCCTTGTTACTGTTAATAATATTCATAAAAAATTGCAGAACCGAATTTTAAAAACTGAATTAAATCGAATCCAACTGAACTAGTTTGGTTCGATATTCGATACATACTATTGAAAAATCAAAAATTGAAGAACAAAATGTTCACCCCTATCTATATATGTGAAAAAGAATTACTAGTAAAAAGAAAAACAAATCAATTTGCATAAACATTAACAATTAGTAGTGATTATCTACGATCCCAAGATTCAAACTGACACCTGACTTGTTAAAACAATAAGAATATAGTAACATAAGTAAAAGGTAGAAGCAGGATGAATAAATGGAAATGAATTAAGTACCTGCTTTGACATGCTTCTCAAAAGTTCCAAATAAAATCCATTCATTCTTCATAAACTCCTCCCTACAACACCAATCTATGAAACCATATTATATTTTCTTTGAAAAATAGAGTAAAAGGAAAGCTTATAGAATAAAAAATGTAATAATTCATACTGTTTGTCTTTACACCTCACTACTTTTAACACTTTATAATTTTTCCTCCAATGTCTTTATGTGTGGGTTCAGATTGATTCATGTCATGAGTTGAAGCAACAGCCATAGACTAATTAATCATCATTTTATTTCCAATACACTCAAAGTCAAACTTATTATAACCTATAGTTATTATATTTTTGGAAACCACTCCTATTAGGACCACTACTCATCTTTCTTCTATGATGACCATTGAATTGGAAAGCTATAACAATTATTCATTACTTGGTATTTTATTGGAGATGTCATTAACACAGGTAGGACCCCTTCAACTAACATCCGGGCTGGAACTTTGTCTTTTTCTTTTATATATATATATATATATATATATATAGGCGAATGTAATTATTTTGGCCAGCCAACCAAATATGTAACTTTCCTTATTTATAACTCTTCCAATTGATAGCCAAAATATCTTGTATTCCAATTGGTCTGTTCAGTTTAGGGAAAAAATGGCTGAAATTTAATCATATCATATGTGCCTTTGTGTGGATTTAGTTATATGTGAATAAACTTCATTTATATGTATATGGAAGTCCAGGGGAGGACCCACCTTATACAAAGTGGATTTAGTTATATGTGAATAAACTTCATTTATATGTATATGGAAGTCCAGGGGAGGACCCACCTTATACAAAGTGGATTTAGTTATATGTGAATAAACTTCATTTATATGTATATGGAAGTCCAGGGGAGGACCCACCTTATACAAAGTGGATTTAGTTATATGTGAATAAACTTCATTTATATGTATATGGAAGTCCAGGGGAGGACCCACCTTATACAAAGTGGATTTAGTTATATGTGAATAAACTTCATTTATATGTATATGGAAGTCCAGGGGAGGACCCACCTTATACAAAGTGGATTTAGTTATATGTGAATAAACTTCATTTATATGTATATGGAAGTCCAGGGGAGGACCCACCTTATACAAAGTGGATTTAGTTATATGTGAATAAACTTCATTTATATGTATATGGAAGTCCAGGGGAGGACCCACCTTATACAAAGTGGATTTAGTTATATGTGAATAAACTTCATTTATATGTATATGGAAGTCCAGGGGAGGACCCACCTTATACAAAGTGGATTTAGTTATATGTGAATAAACTTCATTTATATGTATATGGAAGTCCAGGGGCGGATCCACCTTATACCAAGAGGCAAGAGGTGTCAGCCGACACTGCTTCCTCAGAATTCTTTATTTATACAAAACATGATTATTATTAAAATAAATGACAATACATGAACAAATAACTAATCTTGGCCTGTTGGTGTGGCGCATGACATGTGCAACACATCGTTTACTAAAAATTCTACGTATGTCACTGTGAAAGTTATTCCGATTATACTTACAAATATTTTCAAACTATGAATTATGAAATATGAATTTTGATTTGTAAGGTTGTTCTAAAATTGAATTTGTGTTCACTTTGGCCCAATGGATAACTCGATTTGGATCATTTCCAACTAGAAGGCCCACAAATGAATGGACTTGCTAAGTGTAACCATGGGCTGGTTACATACAAATGATGTGGGCTGGCCAGATTTTGGGTCACTATTTAATATTTAGCTATCATACTTAAGAAAATAACCATATAGATTCTCCTAGCTTATTTATCAATTAATCCATATTTGCATTTTTACGGTTTCCCACTAAGAAATGATATTCGTTTTGATTTTTTACTAGTTGTTTGATAGAGTGTATTAGTAATATTTGTACTAGTTATGCATATATTATTTCTTACGCATTGTTTGGTTTGGTATATTAAAAATAATATACATTGTAAAAAAATATTTATCTACAAAAATATTCTCCATAATTATGGTGGAAATTATGTAAAAGTGCATTTAAGGGGTAATTGAGTCTTTAACGATGCTAATGCATGTATAAAATTCTTTGCATTACTAATACTCAGAAATCTATGGTATTAATAATACACAATACAATGTATAACTAATGTAAGCATCAGCTATATATAGCATGAAAAAAGTATATCAACAAGGGACGTGAAAAGATATATCAAACAACGGACTACTAATACATAAAGTTAATGCATATAATATTTTTACTAATACACTCTACCAAACGATTGCGAGATCTCTGATAAAGAATGAAGATATAGATTCATTTCACTAAAGGCATTGCTAAATGGGATTAATCTCATTATTGAAGTGAGCACCTTTTAGGAAAGACCAAAGATTACTCTGAGTGACTCAAAAGTTGGATCATATACGAACCTCTAATGAGTTGCCACGTAAAAAGGTAGTTGTATGATCCCCTATGCACACATGGCCTTGTCTAGTTGGGTTAAATGTTACCAACTTTGAAAATATAGTTGGGAGTAGGTTGTTTTTAGGTTGGACACATCATTCCGATGGATTAGCTTGGGAAAACAGTATTTCTCTACTTTGTACCTAAGATGACACTCTTCTCTAATTTGATGAAATTTTAATTAATTTGAGTAATTATTCAAAGCTAAATCAAATTTCTACTATTTATTTATTTACAAATCTAAAAATTGATACATCTTTGAGTGTCTTAATTGCGTGCTATATTTCATCATATACATGAAATTCTTTCAGAGTATTTATTGTAAACCAAACATCTTGGTAGGAATAATGAACACATGAGAAGCTCCATACATTTTAGACATTTCTGCAATCTATAACTTAGCTTAATCTTCCATATATGACTTTAATTAGATAGTTAAATGAGCAAACGTCAGTCAAGGTTCTTAAATTTGTTGGCACTACTAATCTTGTTAGATCCTTATTTCCTTCAACTCTTTAATGATTTCTCTTAGTCTTTCAAGGTTACTATCATATAACTGTTCTTCTTACGAGGGCTTAATTTTATTGTCATATATCCTTCTATGGCCTTAGAGGGTGTTTGGCTTGACTTAAAAGTTGGTTAAATTTACTTTTAAGTCAACTTTTCACTTCTAGAAGTGTTTGACAAATATTTTAAAAAAACTTAAAATAAATCAAAAATGTCTTAAAATAAATTATGAAGTGTTTGACAAGGTTATAAATAACTTATAATAAGTTAAAAATCAAAAGTAGGCCTACTAACTTTTTATTTTTAATTTAAAAACTACTTTTTAAGTCAATCCAAACGGGCACTTAGTAATAATCTCCTTTAGACCTCTTTTAAATCTCTTGCTAGTCATATTGTTACTTTCAAGGGACTCTACTCAAACCTAATTTAGGAACTCTACTTCTTAAGTACACTTGGTCTACGACACTCAATTGTCATGTTCATATCTTTTGTATCTAACAACTATTATTCTTTTTATTGATACCAATCACATCTAGTTCGGTTCTAACACCCTAACGGATCATATATACCTTATGTTTAACCCCTCAATATTATATTACTCGGCCCTATTCTTTGATCGTACATTAATCCTCTTTAGCCTTAAGATAAATATCGTTTTTTCTTTCAATTTCCCATGCCATTTGTACAAACAATAATAAAAATGTGTTATTTATCCTCTTTAGCCTCAAGATAAATATCGCTTTTTCTTTCAATTTCCCATGCCATTTGTACAAACAATAATAAAAATGTGTTCTTTATTGCCATTTGCCAAGGAGAAGAGGAAATTTGGCATAAAAATAAAATGATCGTGGACGGCAGGATTCGAACCTGCGCGGGCAAAGCCCACATGATTTCTAGTCATGCCCGATAACCACTCCTGCACGTTCACAACTCGATGGCTTAGAAACATTGTCATATTATGCGTTTTTATTGCAAGTTGGGATTTCTCAATTTTGTCACAATTTAAATTCATCCATCTAGCTAAAAGTTTTTGGGTAAATTGGATTATATCAGAATTTGAGTGTATATTTCTTTCTATACACTTTAACACACTTTCTACTTGTCTCTATTCCTCCTTTTTTTTTTTGTTTTCCTAAAGAGGAGCACTATTTTAGTTTGGTTTGGCTATTGCGAAAAAATATTATGAAAAACAAATAAACAGGTGAAAAAATAGTTTTGAGTATGGCAGCTTGAGTTATGATACTTTTTTTTTTGAGAAAACACATAAAAATCCTCTTTAACTTGGCAGCACAATTTACTTTAGCACTTAAACTATACGAACGTTTAAATACCCCTTTAATAACTTTCAAGTGAATTAACTCCCCCCTAAGGGGTGATGTGACAGAAAAAGTTAATCCACTCTCCTAAAAGCAAGTGAAAAGTTAAAAAAGAAAAAAATGAATTATAAAATTGTACACATGTAATTTTTAGTATATAACTAATATTTTAATTTATTTTTTTTTATAAAATTGCGGGTCCCATTTTTTTTAAAAAATATTTAACTTTTTTCTTTCTTTATTTTGTTGTCTTCCCCAAATATTTTTTTCTCAATTTAAGCACTCTTATACCTTTCTTCTCCAATATTAGTCATTTCTTTCTTCATCTTTATCACCCACCTTTGCACCTTACTTTCATTCCATCAGCCTTTTAGTAATCCACAAAATCCAACACCAACATTATATTTTTTACTTTGATTTCAATATAAACTTTGTTGTTTGAGTGATCCATTTTGTCAAAAAAAAAAAAAAATTACTTTTAAGAGATTCATTCTCCCAATGGTAGATTTGTGGGAGTGGGGTGGGGAGGGAGAGAGTTCTAAGAAAAAAAATTAATATGTTATTTTTTTTTCGGGAAAAGGGTAAAAAATACCCCTCAACTTTGTTTTATTAGTTGACTATACCCCTACCGTTAAAACAAAGTTATTTATACCCTCGCCGTCACTAATTTCACCGTTATACCCCTCAACTAACGGAAATCTCCATATCAACACAAATTAATCCTAATTTTTTTAAAAAGACCCATTCCCATTTTAAACACAATATCCTGACCCATCTATGGTATAATCCGTATAACCCGTCAACTAATAACACAATCATCTCTCTTCTCTCTTCAACTTGTGCACATGTCGAAGAAACAGCTTAGAACGATAACAATGACTTTTTCTTACTCCATAAAAAAGTTCACATTATAATCGAAATCCTCAACCTCAAACAAGTCATCAAGTAATTGAAGGGTAACTCTCTTCGTTCT